CTAGATTCTACCTCCCTCGCAGTGCATTCTACCACGAAATCTGCTAATGCCTGCCCCTTTATCGCCGGTCGCGGCTTGAACTCTATTTGAAAGGATCCCAGGAACACTCCCCACTTGCTGACCCGTGACGGGGCATTTGGGCTTCGAAGAAGCGTTCCGATGGGAATTTGTGATAACACATGGACCGGATGGGCTTGAAAATATGGGGTGAGCTTTTTCACTGTACATACTACCGCAAAGATGGTCTTCTCCATGTTGGTATATCTCAACTCCGCCCCTCGTAGCACTCGGGCCACATAGTACACAGGTCGCTGCGCGCCCTCCACTCCCTCACAAGCACCGAGCTCACAGCTCGAGGAGAGATTCCTAAGTATAGGAACAAGGTCTCTCCGGGCTCTGGCTTCGAAAGCACTAGTGGGGAGAGGAGATATGCTTTTAACCCCTCAAAAGACCGTTGACATTCCTCGGTGCAAACGAACCCTCTACTCTTCTTAATGGTCTGAAAGAAAGGAGCCGCTCGATCAGCTATCTTTGACAAGAAACGACTGAGAGCAGCAATCCTGCCGGTGAGCTTCTGGACCTCCTTTACATTTCGCGGAGGCTCCATCTCCAAAATCGCCTTTACCTTTTCTGGGTTAGGCTCGATCCCTCTCCGGCTGACCATATGTCCTAGGAATTTACCCCCCTGCTTCCCAAATGTGCATTTCTTGGGGTTAAGGCGAAGCTGGAACTTCTTCATGATCTTGAATACTCCCTCCAGGTCGCCAGCATGAGACTCCGTCCGTTTGGACTTGACAATCATGTCGTCCACATACGCTTCCATACACCCCCCTAGTACCGGCGCGAACAGCTTGTTCACCATCCTTGCATAGGTCGCCCCAGCATTCTTCAAACCAAAAGGCATCACCTTGTAACAGTATACCCCATTGGGGGTGATGAAAGCGGTCTTTTCTTCATCCGCCACTGCCATCTTGATCTGATGGTAGCCACTGAATGCGTCCATGAAACTCATCAGGCTCGAACACATTGAGTACATCCTATACATGTATCATAAACCTTTACAGAATGTGACATTGGATTTATTTATTTAAGAAAATAATAATCTTTATAATCTATTTCAATTTGTAAAACTAAAAACTTTATTTACTTTTATAACTAGAAGATTCAATGGATTTATCACCCTTTTCAGAAATTTAAAATTGAAGAGGATATCAGATATGTTGGAATAGATATTTGAAAAAAAAAGCTTTAAAAAGGTATGAAATTTAAAATAAATCTTTTTTTGCTTCACGAATTTTTAATTTTAAAATTAAATCATTATAAGACGTTAGATTTATTTTTGACAAATAACTTAATAGCCTTTGACGTGCAATTTAGTAATCAGCATTTTTGAATTGACAAAAATATACAGAATTCAACATGTCTGCAGAATGTGTAGTGTAAAAGAAACATATAAGGAAAAAAATTTCATAGTCATCGAAATCCATACATAACTGGTATCATAATAAAGACTAAACACGTTTGAATTTAAAAAATAAATATTTTCAAATATAAAATCTAAGAGAGGATAAATCGCAATTATAGAGTCATTTCAGCAGAGAAAGATTAAGGCGGAGTTATTAAGACGACGAGTTAGGGTTAATCCACTCCTAGTGGGTTGGGTCACATTGAGAAAGTACCCACTCACGATCGCTCTAAAGGAAAGGTAGGCTCTTAAGTCGGCTAGAGACACCTTCGGAGGTGGAAGAAAGTCAATTTCAATTCGTTAGGATTCTAAACCTTCCTCAAGCTAAGATCCACACAAGGAAATAACTAGCTTCGTGCTAAGCTATACTATACTAACTATAAAAAAGATTGCTCCAATCTGACCTAGCTGGCGAGCGATCCCAGTAAGTCTGCTTCCCCCAAAAAGAATAGTCTAACTAGTATAAAGCTAGTATAAAGAACTATAAGCTATTTAGATACGTATCTTTCCGTTCGCTCTTCTATCCTGATCCAGCCGGAGGTCTTCGAACCTTGAAGTAAAAGTCTTCCAAAGTCGCATAATCCTTGAATTGGTGATTACTGTTCGGATAAGCCAGTTCCATGATGGGATAGTGAGAACAAGGCCCCCCTATAGTTTTCGTTACCGAGATATCTTTTTTTTTATTGTTCCCATTCAGGAAATTTTAGCAGACTTTTGTGGAGAATCTGACCAAAAGGTCAATTCTCACATCCTGCCGTCTCATAAACCAACTGATCAATGTTGGGAAGAGGAAAAGGATCCATCGGGCAAGCTTTATTTAGATCAGTGTAATCGACGCACATCCGCCAGGTATTCCCTTTGGGTGCGAGGACTACATTTGCCAACCATTCCGGGTAGCGGACTTCCCGGATGTGCCCAATGGATTGCACGGTGGTCACCTGCTTGGTGACAAACTCTCTCCGTTCTGAGGAAAGGAAACGCTTCTTCTGTTTGACCGGCTTGTGGGTCGGATCCACTGCCAACCTATGGCAGATAATTTTTGGGTCGACCCCTGGCATATCTTCTGGTCCCCAAGCGAATAGCACCTTGAATGCTCGGAGGACCTCCAATAACTGCTCCTTTAATTCAAGCGGTAAAGTTTTGCCTACCTTCACCTTCCGCTCCGGCTCAACCGGGTCCAAAGAAACTTCCTCGACCTCTTCCGCCGGCTCAGCTCGGGGTCGCCCCTCCTCCTTCTGGATCGCCGCACAGATCGTGCTCACATTCTCGTCGACTCGGGCTTGGCTTTTGGTCGCCCTGACGTAGCACGATCGTGACAGGCTCTGGTTCCCCTTTGCTACCCCCACCCCTGTGGGAGTGTTGAACTTTAGGCATAAGTGGACGGGGGAGATTACGCACTCCAGGTCCTCCAACCCTGGTCGTCCCAGAATCAGATGGTGTGCACAGTCGAGCTGTAC